GACTCGACAGATTTAACGTGCATCTGTCATCATTTACTGCGCGGGGTCTCTAAGGCATTTGAACTTTCGCATGGAACTAATTGAGAGCTTACTAAAAACATATGGTGAATTGAAAATGGCTTCTACACCTATCTATGCGGACCGCCTTACAGGCAGAAATTTTCATTCCTACATAGAAGCAACGGAAAAGAAAAAAAACCCAACAAGGGTGTGCTTTATGCGCAGTAAACATTTTGACTCAAAAGGACAACGAGTTAAAAAAAGAATCTCGATTTCAATGCAAGCAGTGCAATGTCACACTGTGTGTTGTTCCATATTTTGAAACATACCATACTGTTGAAAATTTTTAATTTTTACACATGTTTAAAACAAAATCAAACTGATATTTTAATTAACATTGACGTGTTTAACATTTTCTTATTAAAATAAATATTTTCTTGCATAATTTTGTCTGTATTTTATACTATTTAACTGAATAAACTAAGCTATTTAAAAATGAATTTTAATCAAGTCGCTATATTTTGTATTTCTATCGAGGTTATCAGTATAATTTTATCTATTTTTTTCATTCTTATTTTTAAATTATTACTATTACATTTAAGCAGATCAAGTTTAATCAAATTTAAGAATATAGTTTTCGGGATATTTAACTTCAAATGTGCAAGAAAATAAAAACTTTTTGCACAACTTTTGTCACATATCAACTAATTAAAAGTTGTAACAGCTTTTTTTTAATAATTACATTTTATAAAGAAAAAAGCAATATGTTAAGCTACGATTTCAAATTATATGTGCTAATAAATATTTAGAACAATAAAACGTGCATCCCTGTCCCCTATACGAGGGTTGCTATTTATATTTCTGGCCTTGGCAACAGTAAGTGTTGCTAGGCGACCGCAGACGATTTTAATCGAAACTTTGATATTTTTAAACATAAATTCAGCAGACGATTTACCATTATAGCTCCTCTGAGGGGATTTACCTTCTTTAGGTAGACACAGGGAGTCACGCCCCGGGGTACCCTAGTGATCTATCCTCCCTTCCGTTTCCTCTCCCTTTCCTCCTACTTTCTCCTTTCTCTTCCCCCTTGTCGTGGTTGCCGAATTTACTGGTAAGGGCTTTTTTTCTGCGTTCGATTACCACCCTGTTGTGTCAAACCCAGATGGGAGGAGACCACCCGCGTGTTTGCCGTGCGTGGAGACCCGTGTCCCTGGAAAAGAGGATCCTGGTAGTTGAGGGGCATCTTGGTACCCCAATACACTGCTTCGGCCCTTGCTTCAGGTAACCGGGAGGTGCATATTGGCCTGTATGCATCAACCGACTTGCCACAAACATCATCTGTTGGCTTAGGTCAAGTCCGGGGTCACTTGCTGGACACCTCGTTAAGGGTGGAGGCTGCTTCAGGGGTGACTCGCGGGCGTATAACTATTGGCTAGCATTGGTGCATGTAACGTATTGGTGTTAGAACCAATATGTTGTCTGCATCCCCTTAGTTGGACTCCGTGGTGGGTGGTGCCGCTGGTAGTTGAAGTCTTTGAAATTTCCTACGGCGGAAAATGACGGCAAGGTGTGTAGTTCTGCACACCATAGCAAAAACAGCGGAACACCTTTATCACCGTGTGAATATGCTCGTTATTTTAAAATAGCATTGTTAAATCCCACTGTTTCTAACACTTCGTTTAGTAAAATATCCCCATTTTTGATACACAAAGCTCTTATCTCTGTTTTAGGAGAAGTAACGTCTGTTCGAAAATTACGATCAGGTGACCTCTTAGTACAGGTATCATCTGAAAAACAAGCGACTACTCTATCAACCTGTAAAAGTATATGTTCGTTTTCAGTAAACGTCACACCTCATAAGACTCTGAACACCTCACGAGGGGTGATATCGCAATCAGAATTTGTTGATGACACAGAAGAAATGATTGTAGATGAATTGCGCGATCAACATGTTATTGCTGTAAGAAGAATTAAGGTTCGTAGGAATGGCCAACTCGTTCCCACGAAATATCTCATTCTTACTTTCGCTACTCCAAAGTTGCCATCTGAAGTCAAGCTTGCCTGGTATAACTGTCCGGTTAGCCAATACGTGCCAAACCCTTAGAGATTTTTCCAGTGTCAAAGGTTTGGTCACTCAAAGGCCTCTTGTCGTAGCACACCCATTTGTGCTCGCTGTTCTGGTTGTGGCCATGACGATACTTCCTGTGAGTTACCGCCCCTTTGCATCAATTGCAAGGGTGATCATGCGGCCTACTCCAGGAATTGTCCAAAATGGTCACAAGAAAAAGAAATTCAGACCATTAAAGTCATGCAAAATTTGACTTTTAATGAAGCAAGGCGAATGGTTACCGCTCGAACTCCCCGTCCGGACGTATCCTATTCTGCAGCTGTAAAAGCAACCTACTGCTCTGTCAGCACACAAACTGATACTCCTTTCGCTCTAACATCTACCAAATAGCCTGCTTTTCATTTTAGAGCATCGAAACCTAATGTTTCGAATCAAGCAACTTCATCACGCAGTTCTACCTCGACCAATTCTCTACCTTCTAAAGCAGCTAAATTAGATCAATATGATAAATTTCCGAAGAAACAACAACGCATAGACATAAAGCCCCAACCAATACGTCAACTTCCTGGACAAACGAAAAAGAAAAAAGATC